ACACGAACCGTAACGGACGTCTCTCTCTCTCTCTCTCCATGTGTGCGTGTGTGTGTGTGTGTGTGTGTTCCACCACCACCAACACGCGGTCTCGCCACCCGTCTGGCTTCGCCTCCGCCTACTCCCACCGTCAGGCAGGTGCGGCACACACACACACACACACACACACGCACACACGTACACACGAGCGTTGTTCCAGCTGCGCTGGGCCACAGTCTCTGCACTGGCCATGGACCTTCTTTACTTTCTTCTTTCTCCCCCCTCTGGCGCCACTGCCTGAAAGGTGGGCGGTGGGGGGCCCTGCTGCGGCGCCCAGGCAAAAAAAACAAACAAACAAACAGACAAACAAATACACACACACACACATGATGCGTTGGGTGCCGCTGGAGTTGGACCGCGTTGCGGAGGTCGGGCCGCAGGTCGACGCGGCGATCAACACCTACGCCGCCCTGCAGCGGCAGCTGGCGCGGCGCGGGACGTCGAGCCCCGCGCAGCTCGCGCGGGCACTGGCGGTGCTGCGAGAGTCGTTTGCGGCCCGCCTGGAGGAGATGGCGGCCTTCTACCAGGCGAACGACCTTGACCCACGCAGCGGGGCGGTGGAGGCGGCACGCCTCAAACTGAAGCGCTTCCTGCGTGCCCCAGCGTCCTGCGGCGCCACCGGCGCGCCGGAGGCGGAGACGTTTATGCTGCTGCCGCCCTCGCCGGACAAGGCGGCGCGGCGAGCCACCGGGGCAGACCCCGCCAAGGCGAGTATAGAGGCGACCGGCAGCGAAGCAGCGGAGGAGGCGGAGGACACGGTGACGCTCCGGGTGGTTCTGACGGCGGACGAGTACCAAGAGCTTCTCGCCCGGCGCGAGGCGTTTTGCCAGCTCAAGTTGGATTCCATGCTCTGCAAGCGATGACGTTCAGTTCCTTTCTTTTTCTTCCTTCCCTGTGTGTCTGTGTGTCTGCTCGTGTGGATTGTTAGCGTCACTGCGTCGTCTGTGCGTGAAGAAGTCTTCTTCTGCGGCGCTTCCTCCCTTTTCTTCTCTCTCCCCTGCCTCCCTCCCCAACCCCCTTTAGCTGCTATTATTCATTGTTGTTGTTGTTGTTTTTCTCCATCTCCGGCTTGGGCGTGCACGTCTGCCTCTGCGCGCGTCGGAAGTTAGTGTTGCGCGCCCGCTTTCCCGCCCCCCACCCCCGATGATCGACACCCTCTCCGTGATCAGCAACGGCGGGGTGGTGCTGTGGGAGCAGAGCGCCGACGACGCCGGGCGGCGGCCGACGGTGAACCGCGTGATTCAGGAGGTGCTGCTGGAGGACCGCGCCGGCGTGCCGGAGGCGGTGCTCGGCGAGCACAAAGTCGCCTGGGCGCTGGACGGCGACGCCCGCTTCTTCGTCGTCGCCGTCTACCCCAAGTTCCTCGTCTACCCGCGCATGGGCGCCTGCCTGCGGGGCCTCGCGCGGGCCTTCGCCGGGAAGTACGGCCGCATCCACGACGGGGAGCTCTTCGCCGACTACGACTTCTCCGCGGAGGCGGCGGCAGCCGTGGCGGGCCTCGAACTCGGCGGCGCAGCCACCACCGTCACGGCTGCAGCAGCCGCAGCAGAAGCAGAAGTGGGAGAAGCGGTAGCCAACAGCAGCAACAACAACAACGACGGGAACGACGACGAGGAGGAGGAGGACGGCGAAGGCGAAGGCGAGAAGGAGGCGGCGGCGGCGGTGCAGCGCGGCGGCGACCGGATTGTGACGAAGCGCGGCCACGTCATTGGACGCAAGGGCCAAAAGCCGGCCGCCGCGAAGAAGGCGCAGAAAAAATGCAAACCCGTGAAACAGGCGACCCGCTGGGAGGAGCCCGCGCTGGACCCCGCCGTCACTGCCCAGCAGCGGGCCCCCACGCAGGAGGAGTTGGCGGCGCAGGCGCAGGCGCAGCGGGCCGTGTTTATTAAGCGGCTGCCGAACGGGGCTGCCGCGCCTGTGCGGGAGGCGGAGTGGGAGAACCAGCCACGCGGGCGCCTGGCGAACTGGCTGCGCGGCTACGTCGGACGCCGGGAGCTGGACAGGCAGGACTTTCAGCGCGTGATTCCCGGCCTGCGGGAGAAGCTGATTGCCAAGAACGTTGCCGTGGAGGTGGCGGAGCACGTGTGCAAGTCGGTGGAGACCTCGCTGGCGGGGAAGAAGCTGGGCACCTTCGACTCGCTCCAACAGTCCATTGAGGCCGCCATGACCGCCGCGCTGCGCCGCATCCTGCAGCCCAAGCACGAGGTCAACATCCTCCGCGCCGTGGCCTCGGCGCAGTCGCGCAAGAAGCCCTACTCCATCGTCCTCTGCGGCGTCAACGGGGTGGGGAAGTCGACGACGCTGGCGAAGATCGCCTACTGGCTGCAGCAGAACGGCCACAGCATCATGATCGCCGCGGGGGACACCTTTCGCCACGGGGCGGTGGAGCAGCTGGAGGTGCACGGCCGCTGCCTGGGGGTGCCGGTGTTCCAGATGGGCTACGGCACCGACCCCGCCGCCGTCGCCGCCGCGGCCATCGCGCAGGCCACCCGCCAACAGCACGACGTCGTGCTGATCGACACGGCGGGGCGGATGCAGGACCACGAGTCCCGCATGCGGGCCCTCGCGAAGCTGATCCACGAGAACCAGCCGGACCTCGTCCTCTTCGTCGGCGAGGCGCTGGTGGGGAACAGCGGGGTGGACCAGCTGCGGCGGTTCAACCAGTGCCTGGTGGACTTCGCCCCAGTCGGCGCGGCGCCGCGCGGCATCGACGGCATCGTCCTCACAAAGTTCGACACCATCGACGACAAGGTCGGCGCCGCCCTCTCGATGGTCTACGAGCTCGGCCAGCCCATCGTGTTCGTCGGCTCCGGCCAGACGTACCAGGACCTGAAGGTCATGCAGCCCGAGGTCGTCGTCGGCGCCCTGGTGGAGTAGCGGAGAGGCACCGCCGCCGCCGCCTGTGCCACGCAGGCAGAGAGCGAGAGAGAGAGAGAGAAGGTGAAAAAGAAAACAAGGAAAAGAAAAAGAAAAAGAAAAGAAAACAAAACCACAACAACACACACACACACACGCTTACGTTGTGTTTACCCCTCCTCCTTATTCTTCCTGCCCACTGCTTCCGCGGACACAGCCAAATGCCATATGTATATATACACACATTATGTGCATATAAACAGAACGATAGATGCGACGCACGCGTGCGGCTGTAATGCGTGTGCCTCTCTCTCTCTCTCTCTCTGTCTGTCTGTGCGGCGCCTCGCTTCCGTCCGACCGGGCAGTTTGCTTTCCCGCCGTTGCACGCCCTGGATTGAGTCCACCCCCCCACGCTAGCGGCGTGGGCCCCACATGCGTTGGCGCGGCAGGAGGAAGACGGAGCAGCAGAGTCTCCCAGCAGCCCCAGCAAAAAGCGGCAGCAGCGCTGAGGAGAGTAGGGAGGCAGGGGCGCGTGGTGGCTGACAGGCATGCGCTCGCCCTCGTCGCCGTCGGCCGCGGCCGCGCCGCGGTACTACTACGAGGACGGCCGGGGGAATAAGGTGTGGGTGCAGAACCTCTCGCTCGACTACGACGCCCTGCGTCCCTCGGGGGGCGGGTGGCGCGGCCGCCGGCAGGAGCGCAGTGCGACTCCCTGCGGTGCGCCCCGTCCGCCGCCGCCCGCCAGGGGCGTGTCTGCGCGGACGGAGTGGCGTCGGCAAACGCCCTCCCGCGGGGCCGACGCCCCTCCCACGCGGTGCACGTGCGACTGCCCGCTGCACTCCGCCCTTCCGCCGGGCGCCGGCGTGGCGTGGACGTTTCTCCCGGAGGCCTCCCTTGCGGGGGTGATTCACACCGTCGATGACGCCGAGTTCATCCTGGCGAAGCTCCGCGGCGAGGAACGCCTTCTCCGCGGTGCGCACGTGTGGTGAGGCGAGGCGGGGCGAAGTGCGCTTGCCGCTCCCCCCCCCCCTCTTTTTCTTTTTGTATGCTCCCCCTTTCCCCGCCCCTTCTTTGCCTTTTCTTGCACCTCTAGGGCACCTCGTGCCTCCCTGTGTGACGCCGTGCAGGCGCCGACGCGTTCTCGTTGTTCCCGACGGCTGCGTTGCCGGAGTGCCAACGGCACGCACCTGCCTGCACCATCCTTCCCTTCTTCCCACTCTTTCCTTCTCTATTTTTTCCCCTTCCGTTGCTGACGCCGCAGCAGCTACCCCGGCTAGCACGTGAGAGTCCACCGCGCTGACAATGTGGCGGCGGCTGCCCCTCCGTCCCCGCCACGGCGGCGGCGCGGCGACGGCGACGGCGACGGCGACGGCGGCGCGGAGGGCAGGGACGTTGGGCGGCGGCGGCGGTGGCCCGCGTCCCCCGCGCGACGAGGGCATCAGCGCGGGGCTGCGCGGCTTCGGCGCGTACGGCGGCTCCGTCGCCGCCTTCGTGCGGCCGCCGGGGGAGCGGCCCGCGGACGCTGCGGCGGCTGCGTCGCCCCTCCCCTGCGGCGCCGCGGGCCCCCTCGCGCAGGCCGCCAAGGCGCAACAGATGGCCAACATTGCGCTCCGCGGCGGTCTGCCGTCGCCGGAGCCGCAGCGTCCGTCCACGACGACGACGACAACGACGGCGGGGTCCTCCTCGTCGTCCCACGCGTCGTCGCTCCCGCAGCGGCTCCCCCCCGACGGCGACGCGAAGGCGGCGACGCGTGGGACGGGGCCTGCCGCAGCCGCAGCCGCGGGCGCCGAGGCGCAGGAGGCGGCCGACTACTACCGCGCCGTCCCCCGCAACGCGCTCTCAAAGGAGGAGATGTGGCGCCGCATCACCGCCGCCAGCGCGGACGCGGCCGACCGCGTGGCCTCCGCCTTGCAGCCCTCGGAGGCCGACTACCTGAAGATGGAGGAGGAGCTGCGCGAGAACGACCTTTTTCACTACCGCATGGGCGAGATCGCCTACCCGGCGGCGACGGCCACCCGGCGCAGCTACTACGCCATGTGGCAGCTCGCCATCTCCCTCAACAAGGCGCGCTGGACGATGCTTGACGTCCTCTCCCAGCGCGGCGTGAAGACGACCGGGGCGGGCATGAAGCTCCTCTTCTGGAAGGAGGCGGTGAACCAAATCGTGGAGCGGCGGCAGATGACGGCGGGGCAGTTCACCGATTCCCACCCCGTCCTGCGCCCGTTCGCGGCGGTGGTGGAGCAGAACCCGCAGCTGACGCGGGCGTTCGTGCGCGGCTTCACCGACGCCCGGCTGCGGGTGCTGCAGCAGCCAGGCAACGTCAAGCAGCTCTTCGACCACTTCGACCGCTACTACGGCTACTTCTTCAACGCCCTGCTGGAGGCCACCGGCGTGAAGGACGAGGTCGCGGAGCACATGCTGCAACACATTGGCCGCGCCATCGGCCTCACCCAGCACTGCGTGATGTTCTGGAAGAAGTACGCCAACGTCGGCTTCACGATGTTGCCGGCCGACCTCTGCGCCGACAACTACGTCAACATCGCGCTGCTCAAGAACATCTCCCTCGCCTCGCGCGACCGGGCGGTGCGACGGCTGCTGTACGACGTGATGTGCATCGCCAAGACGGAGATGCTGCACGCGCAGCAGCTGGCCCCGGCGTGCGCCCCCACCGCCTGGCCGGTCGTGATGGAGTGCGTCTACGCGAACTACTACCTCGGCTTCCTGCAGCGCCGCGACTTCAACGTGAGCGCCATGTTTGCCGACCACAACATCGAGAACCCTGGCTTCGCCTGGTACCGCGTGAAGAAGCGCTGGGAGTGGGAGCGGCACCAGAGCATCGCGCGCCTCGTGGCGGAGGAGGCGCCGCTGCCGTTCCTCGGCCTCTCGCTGGGCCACGGCGGCTCACGCTACAAGATGGCCTCTGGCATCGGGCGGGCCCGCTAGAGACGCGGTGCGGCAGCGAAGACCGGTCGTTTTAGTATTATTTTTTTTCTCTCTCTGTGTGTGTGTGCGTGTTTGTGTCGCCTCGCTTTGCCTTCTCCGCTTGCGCCTTGAGAGGGCTATCGAGGCTGTGGGGGGGGGACCCGCGCTCTCCTCTTGTACCTCCCGCGCAAGCGTCTGCCGTGGGGGGGGGGTGCGTGTGCGGTTGTCCGGCATTTCCCCGTCCTGCGCTGCTGCCCCACCGCCCCACCTCTTCTTCACCCGCTGCTGCTGCTGCTGCTGCTCCGTGTCTCTTCTCGCCTTCGCCACCGTCCGCTGCTGTGTGTGTGTGTGTGGGCTCACACACAGACAGGAAGAAGCGGCACACACACATACGCAAAGGCAAACAAGGTGTTTGTGTAAGAGCGAGGGTGTGTGTGTGCATGTGTAGAAAGTGGGAAGGGGGCTAAAAAGTCACAGCAGGGGATTGGGAGCTAGCCGGCTATATATATATATATATATATATATATATAGTA